ATGTTCGCTTATGCTCGAAAGTCATCATATTGAGTCAATACTGTATGCTGGACTGGAATTGTTTTGCAATCAGAGATGCCATGAGAGCCTCTCGGAAACATAGAGCTGCCAGTTTTCCGTCAGACGTCAATCATCACTGGATGTTTCACACTGAAATTCGGACTTTGAGATGTGCCTGTGACTGAAGAAGGTTCAGTAGTTGCAATCCTATTTTCTGGACTGCAGATATGCCTAAGAACATTTACTGTTTAAGTGGGATTATATATGGGATTATTGTTTATTACATCTCTCAAAAGTCAAAACGTCTATGATCTTCTTTATCCTCATCGCATCATTCTGAGTATCTGCTAAAGATCGAGTTCTCAACATCAGTGGACAGCAAGGTTTGACAGCTTCACCAGAGGACTGGGCCGTGGAGGCCGTGGAGACGATGAGATGTGCTCGCTGCTGCTTCCACCATGGCGGCCGCTTCCTCCTGCACCCTCTCCTTCCCTCCCATCCACTCATCGTCTTTCTCCGTCCTCCGCTCGCCAGGTCTCGACGCGCGCGCAGACTCCGCCTCGGCGTCCCGCTGCCGCGCCCCGTCTAAGAGCCGCCACTCCGGACGCCATGGACACGGCGGCCCTCATGGTCGCGCGCGCCGAGGCCGGGGACTTCGCGGAGGCCCGGTCCCTCTGGGCGCAGCTCCTGCACAGCTCCGCCGCGCCGTGCCTCCCCGCCGCGGCGCCGCGCCTCCTGCCGGCGTACGCGCGCCTCGGCCGCTTCGACGAGATCCTCCTCGCCGTGCGCGAGCTCTGCGCGCGGGACCGTGGCGCGGCGCGCGCGCTCTACCCGCTCGCCGTCTCCTGCCTCGGCGCCGCGGGCGAGCTCGTGCGCATGGAGGACGCCGTGCTAGAAATGGGCCGCCTTGGCCTCAGCGTCGACGCCGCGACCGGGGACGCCTTCGTCCGGGCCTACGCGGCCGCCGGAACCATCCCGCAGATGGAGGCGGCCTACCGCCGGCACAAGAAGACCGGGCTGCTCATCACCCGTGGCGCCATCCGCGCCGTGGCGTCCGCTTACATCTCCCAGCAGAAGTACTACAGGCTCGGCGCGTTCGTGGCCGACGCCGGCCTCCGCCGGCGCGACGCAGGCAACCTGCTCTGGAACCTGTACCTCCTCTCCTTCGCGGCCAACTTCAAGATGAAGTCCCTGCAGCGCGCGTTCCTGGAGATGGTGGCCGCCGGGTTCCGGCCGGACCTCACCACCTTCAACATCCGCGCCGCGGCGTTCTCCAAGATGTGCATGTTCTGGGACCTCCACCTCAGCGCCGACCACATGCGCCGCGACGGCGTCGCGCCGGACCTCGTCACGCACGGCTGCTTCGTCGACGCCTACCTCGAGCGCCGCCTCGCCCGGAACCTCACGTTCGCGTTCGACCGGCTTGACGGCAACGCCGAGCCCGTCGTGGCCACGGATGCCATCGTGTTCGAGGCGTTCGGCAAGGGCGGCTTCCACGCCAGCTCCGAGGTGTTGCTGGAGGCCACCTCCGGGAAGAGGCGGTGGACGTACTACAAGCTGCTCGGCGTCTACCTCAGGAAGCGGCATCGGAGAAACCAAGTTTTCTGGAACTACTGATATGCTAACCAGTTCAGTAACAGTATTAGCAGTAGTGTAGTGCTAGATTGTAAATTTCAGTGATTAAAATGTGCTTTGCGAGCAACTTCATATATCTAGGAGTTTGCAACGGACATACCAAGACTGATTTATATACTCTCGGAAAATGATTTATACTTGCATCAATAGTTTGTACATTGATTCAGAAATGGTGGCAACAATCTCAGAATCTTCAACAAACAACTTAACTACCTAAGCAGCAGTATATCTCTATGGAACTTGGGGTTAAGATGAGAAGCTAGAGAAGAGAAGCATGGAAGCAAAAATACAGAGATTACACAAGGTACGAAGACATAATATTCCAACTAATTTTCATGTGTGGAGGCATTGGTGCGACGAATCTTAGGAGGTTGGGCTTCTCCTTGGTCCATGGGGCGCCGTTTTCGTGCCATTCTCCAGTGCTGCTCAGGAACTTTGCAATGTTGGGGATGACCATCTCCCGGCAATGCAGGTGTAGCAAAGGGACTTTTGAGAGAACACTGCCCTTCTGAATCTCCAAGCCTTCTGGGCGTCTCAGCTTGTATGGCTCTCCAGTAAACGGTTCAAAGTCAGGCTGGGGATTTTGCTTCCACGTTTGGTGCACAAACCAACCGTATTTGTAATCCCCAACAATGGGAGTGCCGAGGGCTTCAGCACAGTGGACTCGGAGCTGCAAACAGAACAGGTTGATGCTTACAGTTGAAAATGTCCATTCCTAAGCAACATATATGAATCTATTTTCCATGTTTCTAAGAACAAATGAAAGGCATGATAGTTGATAGGATATACTAAAGTGTGGATCATCTCCATACATTTTGCAGAAATATAGCACAAACAAAATCCAAATATTATGAGGATACCTGGTGCTTCCGCCCAGTCAATGGGCGTAGCTCGATCCATGAGCACCCATTAATGGTTGGCCCCATCACCCGATACTCTGTTACTGCCTCTTGTGCACCATCTATGCCAGAAGGATGTGCCAGAATGACCCTCTCAGCTTTCCCTTCATCGAGAAGTACCTGAATCAGAAAATCCAGTTTGATTTAAGTGAAAAGATTGGAACATAAGAAGTTAACCTACATGAGATCATTTATTGTTTTATGTTGCAAGTAATAGCTAACAAATAAAAATACCTTTGAAATAGGAGCAGCTATAACACCTTCCCTTTCTTTAGGAGTACCAATGACTAGCGCCCAATACTTCTGCATGTATGCTTCACGGGCTTTATTCCATGTCTGAATATGCCAATAATACAAGATATTAGTTAGTATGCAGCAATCAGAAAAGGTAAATTCATCACAATAATTTAGACAGAACATGGCATGTTAAGTCAAAGGCTTAGTAATCGAGGAATTGATGATTACCTGAGAAGATGTTTTAGCTAAATTTACACTAGTGAAAAGCCAGTGCAGCCGAGTAAAGCTTTCTTTTGTTCTGCCCATCAAAATCAAACCGCTGCTTTCTCTGTCCAGTCGATGGACCTGAGCTCACAAGCACACAGGGAAAAGAGATCTTCAGAAAACCTAAGATTATACACAGTGACCAAAAGTCAAACAGAAACAACTCGTGAGCTCACCAATTTTGGACCCTCTTCGTTTCCATATGACAGTGCTGCTGCTGCAAGCACATCCATGCTGTTATGTACTGGCAAATGTCCTTTCATAGGCACTTTGGGGGGCTTGTTAAGCACCAATATAGCAGAGTCCTGTGATTGAAAAGCTTTAGCTTATTGCGTTGAACCTGAATCATGTAAAACGAAAGCAGTAAAATCTGAAACACTAAAATGATGACAAGCTGACACCTTTATCAACATACAAGCTTAACAAATCATGAGTAGTCTTTTCTAGTTAACACATATGCAGACAGATTGATGTATTCATTTATTTACTATATGTCCAATTTGGGGAATACTGACATACAGAGGCCAATTATCCACAGAAAACAACATTTTCTCTATTAATGCAGGAGTCATGTAGCCTATATATGTCCATGAAAAATTAGCAATACAACCTACAAACAAAATTACCCTGTGGATGACAAGCCTCCTCAGGTACTCAATCTCATCTTTATTAGGATGCAGGGTGGCAGTCGGAATGGTCTCATAACGCTTCTTTACCTCACCCTCAGCCACTGAAACAGGGAGGTGAATTCTCATTCCAGGCTCCATAGCATCATTATGTTTAATCTGCAACAAACTGAGGGCCATATTTACTTTATTCACAAAGCACAACAACATACAAAAAGAGTTACTATAGAGCAAACACTTCACTGCCACCTTTTTCAGATGATGCTTCTGAGTTCGAATGCTGTCAGCTGAAACCTCGTGGTCAGAGCACTCAGAAAAAACCTGAATAGCAAATCGTTTTCATCTTAGATGCTGAACCAAAGATGACTACAGCTACAGGTTGTGCAGGCTGCTATGACATTAACTCAGGAAAGTTATATGTGTTCAACTGATACTATGAAGATACAACCACTCTGGCAAAGGCATATCAAAGAAGCTCTGTTGCTCTTATCAGAAAAGAAAGGCAAGTTCTGATGCAAGTAACTGAAATTTATGGTAACATTAGTAGTCGAAGAATTCTGAATCAATACTAATCGAAAGAAAAATGTGATCACACTGAATCAAAGCTGCAACGGTCAGGAATGCCAGTCGCCCAGTCCAAAAAGGGAAGGGAGATACCATTCTCCTGTTGAAGTGCGCCTGCACAGCCTCCTGCGGCACGTCGGCGAAATAGTGCTTCACCCAGCTCACCGCCGTCACGCGATGCGCCGCCGCCTTCCTTCCCGGGAGAGGGTCCGGCCCTGCGGGGAACGGCGGCAGCGAGAGCAGCTGCCGCGGCCTCGGCCCGGGCTTGGGCGCCCCCAACCGCGCGACGTTGCTGGCGTCCACGCGGACCACCGCCGGGTCGGCAGCCGCAGGCGCCGGCGGCGCCAGCCGGGACAGCCGCCGCAGGGCCGCCGGCCACCGCCACGGCCCCGGACGGCGGCACAGCATCCCGCAGGGCGTAGGCCACTAGTGATCCGTATTGTTTTCGGTCGACCCGCGGGCCGCCGTTTTTTCAAGAACTTCACCCTTTTCTCCGTTTCGACTCGCGGGCCGAGTCCGACCGGAGCATGTCCACGCTAGGGTTGTGTGCGGTGCCACCTTTATAACCTGGAGACAGAGGCGCGTTCGGCTGGTCTGAAAGTTTCAGACCAGCCTCTCATCACAATCACCATCGATCCATTTTTTCTCACAAAACCAGCTGCTACAGTGTTTTGGTTTTTTTTTTCAGACAAGCGAACGGGGCCAGAGCACCGCAGCCTCCTCTCATCCACAATCTCCATCGACCAGAAGAGTCACACGGCGCTCAGATCTTGCGATGGCCAGTGGGTTTGGTTCGCAGGGGTTGTCATCGTCGGAGGAGGCGTCGGTCGCTGAGGGCCCGATGAAGGCGTGCTGCACCAAAAGGAAGGCGGAAGTGGATGCGGCCACCGGGGGTGTGGAGGTTCCGTCGCAGGGGCGCACCTCCAAAAGGAGGGAGGGAGAGCCGGCGCTCGGCGAGAAGCACGCTGATGCTGTGGTGGCTGGCGCCGGCGGTGACGGCGAAGGGGCTCTGGCAGGAAACGTGAATGAGCAGCTGCCGGGCGATTCCACAAGCGGTGATTCTACTTCTACAGTCAGTGATTCTTCCACAAGCGATGATTCTACTTCTACATCCAGTGATTCTTCCACAAGCGGTGATTCCACGGACGTCGAAGAGGATGAAGTCAAACAGGAGAAAGAAGTAAAGTACGTAGGAGAAAGAATTAATGTATGTCCGTCGTTCAGATTTCTACGAGGACGAGGGAGGAAGACGGCGAGGACTTGGGAGGTGGTTCAGGGATCCAACATCAACACCGAGACAACCGACGGGTGGAGGAGTGGGGAGGTGGTTCAGGGATCCAACATCAACACCAAGACGACCGACGGGTGGAGGAAAGGACCAACCGAGATGGCCGGTGGAGGAAGGGGATTTGCCTTAAAAAAAAGAGGTTGTTCAGGAACTTGATACCAACTGAGATGATCCTCCAAAGATTAGAGCTAAATCATTTTGTAAAGGTATAAATTTGGCTATTATTAAGAAAAAAACTCTTTAATTCTATAATGATTCCAAATTTAGTAGCTTTCCATCTCTCTATCTTCTTTCTCTGTGATCAGTGCTCGAAACAACTGTCGCTTGCTCCTTGGGTGACAAGTCTTGTTCAGGGTATTGGAGCCGCTCGGCCTCTCGGCCATGGCTTCCATTGTGGATGACGATATGGTGGACTGGTGGCTAGGGCTGTGCGTAATGGTTTTGACTCATTGTTCCTGCCTGCGGCGTGGCTATTTTGGAAGGAGAGGGACTCCAGGGTCTATTGGAATTTGGCGAGGGCACCAACGATCCTTGCTCGCGACCTTGTCATGGAAGCAATGGCTGGATTGAAGCCAGATACTCGCCTAGCGAGCTTGCCGCCTCTGTTGTTTCAGAGGTCACAAAATTAGTTACCATATAGTCTCACTTGTAATCCCTGTATTCTGGTCTGTTTCATTTGTCTTTATTGATTTTTTTCCTTAATCAATTGAAGGATTGTTTTTTTTTAAGAAAATTGAAGGATTGTTTGATCGATCAGGGAGTCTGGTGGTTCATTAGTATGCATGTGTTGCTAAAATGTTGGAAGCTTTGAAATCAATCTTTTCTTTTGGGTGTCTCGTCTTGTTAGAACCCAGATCTCCAAATCGTAGAGCCCATGAGCAGGTTTCCTTGACATTGGCCTCGTTTGGCTTGCTGAATTTTGGCTGAAACTGGCTGAAAAACACTGTTCTGCCTGAATTGTTGTGAGAGAAAAACACTGTTCTGGAGGCCTAGTCACACTCCTCATGAGCCGCGCCACATTTCGAGCGGAGTCTCTCTACGGTTTGGAGCAGTTCATCCCGCTCCTTGTGTAGCCAAATGACCGTCGTGGTCTCCAGGCCGTGGCCTCCAGGGTCGCGAGCTTCTCATCGGCCCCCAGCTTCAGTTCCCATTCCTTCTCAACCTCGGCCAGAAGGTCAAGGATCCGCTGACGGGTCTCAGCGTCCTTCTGGAGCAACTCATCCCACTCTTTTCTGACCCTGGCGGCTTCCTCGTCGTCCTTCCACGACCTCACCGACAGGGCCTCAAACGCCTTCTCGGCCTCGTCAGAATCCCGACGGGCCTTGGCCACCCGCGATCGAAGATTGTCCGCCTCCTCGGCGAGGGGAATCAGCCCGGCCACCCTCTGCTGGGCGGCAACAAGCTGAGCTGTTACCTCCCTACGTAGCCACACCTCCTCAACTAGGTGGTCCCAGGCCTCCTTCTACTGATGAAGGAAATGAGATTTCCCTCGGTTACGAGCTATGAGGGACTGCAGGAAGACGATGGTCAGGATACACAAAGCATATAAAGAAGGATAAGGATGAAAAGCAGGACCAAACAAATACCCGGACAGAGGGAACGATGACGTCGCGCAATGCGCTCATGGCGTGGTTCAGGGCCTCAAGCATGGACGCGAACCCTACGTCGAGGCTCTCCCGCTCCATGCTCTCGATCAGCGTCGTCAAGGGTGAAAAGCGTCAACGTCGGATCCTCTAGAGTCGTCCATCGGAGCAGGGGCTCACCCCGTGTAGGCAAGCCGCTACCCACCGACGTTAGGGCCAGGGACGACTCTCTGCCGGCTCCAAGCGCCGCCGATCCCTCTCACCGGGACGCCCCCTCCGGCGATGGAAGGGGTCAACGGTGCGAATGCCGACCCCTCTCCCAGCAACACGACTCCCAGGGACCCCTTGGCCGTGTCCCCTCCGTCTGGCCCACGCCAGGCGCCGTCGCTTGGGCCGCCGATGGCGTGGGTCGTGCCTAGCTACGACCCATTTGTCACGCCCGCCGCCACCTCTGCCTGCGTTGGCGGGGTCACGACCGGCCGCGTCGTGCCCATCACGGTCGGTGCCATGAGTGCGGTCAGAAGCCCCGTCCGCCCTATCATCGGCAGTGGTATCGTGGCCATCGTCCGGCTGCTCCGCGACCTCCAAAGGCGCCCCTTGAGCCCCCGCTTCCGTCCGTCCCACCGAGGGCCAGGCGCCGCCATGGGCGGCGATGTGGTCACACTGGCGCCGCTCCCGCCCAAAATGGTTATCACCTCAATTGGAGGGCGACGCTCTTCTTCGGCTCCTGCGCCAAAGGATTCCGCTGCCTACCGACGCTGAAGGGACGAAAAACATAAGTCACGATGAAATTCGATCAAAACAGGGAAAACAGAGGAACTGATAACTCACCTCAGCGTCGTTGGGCGGTAGATGCGTTTGGGGAGCGAACCCCCCGACCTTTGCTCCGCCTCGTCGGAGCGAGGTCATTTCGAGCCTGCCCCCTGCTCCTGGGTAGAGGGGCTCACTCCCCTTGGCTCTTGGGGCACGACGGCGGAGCCGCCCGCCTTCGCTGGCACCTCAGGCGTGACGGTAGAGACGCCTGCCCCTGTTGGCTTCTAGGGCAGGCCGATGGTACGGCCCGCCTCCGTCAGCTCCCCGGACGTACCCTCCCCTCCATGGAACGGGAAGGGTCCCGATGCCTGCAAGGACGAACCGATACCTATCAGCGCATCCTCGTCCTCTAGGTTGTCCTACTCGATATCATCGACTACCTCATCATCATCTCCATCGTCTTCATCGCTGTCGGTGTCCTCCCCTTGTTCCCGCGCCTGCAGCTTCCGCTGCTGCTTCCTCTTCTTGTCCTCCTTCGCCTTCCTCAGCCGCTCGCCCTCGGCATGATTCACCGTCCTCATGGCCGAATCCCTCGGCAACGACGCCGAGTAATCCATGAGGATGAGGTCCCTCGACTAGTCTTGCCTCTCTCAAAGTTAGTATCAAGGGGTCAGGAAATCGATTGAAGAAAAGGCAGGAAAAAGGGGGACTTACGAAGACGATGTAGCCTAACTCCGGTTGCGAAAACCGTGGATAGGGTGGCGGTCACAAAGATGAGCCGACCCTCGACCGGTCCCCTGCTATGCACGGGGGCTCGAGGAAAGTTGGACTCGCAATGAGACTGAACTCACGGTCGCAGAACGACAGACCCCCATAGGGGTCGAAATCAGGGGAAGACCTTTTCTGACCCACCAAACCTCACGGCTATACCCCCGAGGGGTTGAAAGGTCCTAATGGCTAGAGGGGGGTGAATAGCCTATTAAAAATTCTACAACAACACTTAACAAACCGGTTAGACAATTATGAGGCCAAACAAGTGTTGCGCTAGCCTACTAAAAATGCAAGCCACCTACCATAATTCTAGTTTCTATAGTTTCTAACCACACAATGGCTATGACACTACACTAAGTTAGTGCGCTCTCAAAAACTAACTAAAGAGCCACACTAACCAAATTAACAAGCTCTCACGACTAGCTACACTAAAGAGCTTGACAACTAGTTTGTGGTATTGTAAAGAGAGAGAGCAAGATAGTTATACCGCCGAGTCGAGGAGTGAACTAATCAATCACAAAGATGAATACCAATGAAGACCAATCACCTCGGAATCAAATGATGACACAATGATTTTTTACCGAGGTTCACTTGTTTGCCGGCAAGCTAGTCCTCGTTGTGGCGATTCACTCACTTGGAGGTTCACGCGCTAATTGGCATCACACGCCAAACCCTCAATAGGGTGCCGCACAACCAACACAAGATGAGGATAACACAAGCCACAAGCAATTCACTAGAGTACCTTTTGGCTCTCCGCCGGGGAAAGGTCAAGAATCCCTCACAATCACCATGATCGGAGCCGGAGACAATCACCAACCTCCGCTCGACGATCCTCGCTGTTCCAAGCCATCTAGGTGGCGGCAACCACCAAGAGTAACAAGCGAATCCCGCAGCGAAACATGAACACAAAGTGCCTCTAGATGCAAACACTCAAGCAATGCACTTGGATTCTCTCTCAATCTCACAAAGATGTTGAATCTATGATGGAGATGAGTGGGAGGGCTTTGGCTAAGCTCACAAGGTTGCTATGTCAATGCAAATGGCCAAGAGAGTGAGCTTGAGCCGGCCATGGAGCTTAAATAGAAGCCCCCACGGAATAGAGTCGTTGTACCTCTTCACTGGGCACTACTCGGGGTGACCGGACGCTCCGGTCAGATCGACCGGACATAGGACCCTAGCGTCTGGTCGCCCGATGCTTGCCACGTGTCATTGGCTTCAAACGCTGATCGCCCGATCTCAATGGTCATCAGTACATTTAAGTAGTGACCGGACGCGCTGCTCAAAGTGACCGGACGCACCAACACCAGCGTCCGGTTGTTTCCAGTAAGGTACCAGAAGCGAAAAATCACGACCGGACGCGTCTTGTCACTCAACGTCTCCCCTGTGCGCTGCATATGTCATCATACGTCATACTGACCGGACTCAGGCCCTGAGCGTCCGGTCATTTCTCGCGCCAGTGTCCGGTCATGAGACCGAAACCGCACGCTCACTGCTGCCACTGACCGGACGCGCCGGTCCTACCGAGACCAACGTCCGGTCACTTACAGTGACCTCCGTTCACCTAGGTTTAGCCACCGGACACATCCGTTATGCTCTGTGAAACCCTGTCTTTTCTGTATAGGGCGTCGATGGCACCGTCGGACTGTCCGCACTCTACAGGCGGGCACTCCGCCGGTGAAGTTCCTAACCCTTGCTCAAATGTGCCAACCACTAAGTGTATCACCTTGTGCACATGTGTAAGCATATTTTCACAAATATTTTCAAGGGTGTTAGCACTCCACTAGATCCTAAATGCATATACAATGAGTTAGATCATCTAGTGACACTTTGATAACTGCATTTCGATACGAGTTTCACCCCTCTTAATAGTACGACTATCGATTCTAAATGTGATCACACTCACTAAGTGTCTCGATCACCAAAACAAAAATGGCTCCTACCATTTATACCTTTGCCTTGAGCCTTTTGTTTTTCTCTTTCTTCTTTTCAAGTCCAAGCACTTAATCATCACCATGGCATCATCATCATCATGTCATGATCTTCATTTGCTTCACCACTTGGAATGTGCTACCTATCTCATGATCACTTGATAAACTAGGTTAACACTTAGGGTTTCATCAATTCACCAAAACCAAACTAGAGCTTTCAGGGGTCCGATCACTACGAAAGGGAATCGCTGTCCCCAGGACATGCCGTGGGCGACAAAAGAAGGCCAAGGCCATCGGAGTCCTCCTGTTTGGAAAAGCCTCCGAAGGAGTATTCTACTCCTCCACAGGCTCGGGGACTATTGTTGGGGACCAATACTAGGGTACCCCGAAGAGGAGGAGCAAATGATCATCAACATTGATTCATCCGAGCAGTCAAGAGCACGACTACAGCTCCAACCGATCCCTAGGCGTGCAAGCTCCGCCTCGCCCGACCTCTGGGGGCGGACTCCGCCTTGCCCGACCTCTAGGGGAGGGCTCTGCCTCGCCCGACCCCGAGGCCACGTGCTCCACCTCTCCCGACCCCAAGGCAACGAGCTCTGCCTCGCCCGACCCTTGGGTTCGCGCTTCGCCTCATCCGACCCCTAGGCCGCGGGCTCCGCCTCGTCCGACCCTTGGGTTCGCGCTCCGCCTCGCCCGACCCCAAGGTCGTGGGCTCTCGTCTCGTCCGATGGAGATCCATACCGCCGCCAACCACCCATTTTTCAAGACTCCCATGTGTTGAAAATAGTGTGGACAATTTTCATCCCTATAAAACTCATTTGATCTCATGAAATTTTCATCATCTCTCTCTTCATCTATACTATGCCATGTAAACTTATTCAATGCCCATAAAACTCTCATGAAACCGCAATTGAGACTTGCCTAAGAAGGCAGAAACACTTAATTAAACACATATATGTGACATGCCACCTATATCTTTAGTGAAACCAAGTACTATGTCATTTATACTTAAGTGTGATATGTGCTTGATTGGGTCATTTATACTTAAGTGTGATATGTGCTTGATTGAACTTGATCAAGTATAAGTCTCATATGTGTTAGTAAACTTTAACAAGTCATAACAAGATATAAACTTTGAAGACAAGAATGCCACATTTAATTACTTAGCAAGCATTTCCTTGGCTGCCAACAATTTCCTTGGCTGTTCACCTCAACCTCCAACGAAATGGGTGGTTTCCTTAGAGGTTCAATGAAACCTTCCAGCGCCTAGAAGTGTCTTCTATGGCCTCCAGCTCTGTCCCAAGCTTGAGTCCTTTGGTTAGGATGCTATTGTCGACTCCAGAGCACGATAGGGCCCTCTGAAGTCCATCTCTGTCTCGAGCATTGGTTCCCAATGCTTCTCTGGCTTTGTACATCGCTTCATCAAAGATAGACCTGGTATCAATGGAATTCCCTGGAAGCAACTTTGGGACATTAGACATCAGATATGCGCAGTAGCATGATAATTTGGTTGCGACTTCATGGTTGTCATAGCAGGGAAGCTGCCTGCTTCTCAACTCTGCATCGTCACATATTATTCTGCAGTAATCAGTTGCAATGTGCCAAATAAGCATGCTTTCTGTTTTGAGTTTCATTCTGCAATGTCCAAGAAAACTGTTGGAGAAAACCGTTGCGCTGCAGTGATGCTTTCCCATTGGTCAGATGTCCATCGCCGCTAGACTTCAGAGTGGAAACAATCTGAGGCTTCAGCTTATCAGGTAACTTGACAAAATGCAAACCTTTGGTTGAAAATAGATTGCCCAAAGATTGACCTAGATAAGCAATGGCCTTGGAAAAAAAATGAACATGGACAGAGTGGTTGATTCAAAGGCAAAGTCTTTCCTCAAACTAAAGAATTTTGATCCTTCTATGACAGAGTACTGACCTAGTTTATTCTGCCAACACCCGAATAATGGGAGCCTCCGCTTACTAATAAAAAACCCAAAACTCTTGCGTAAGGCCAATGGGATGAATCCATCCAGGTTTCCTCTTCATGTGAGAGAGCAGCAAGCAAGTGATACCATGGCCCAATCAGATCCCAGGTACAGTATGAACTGCAATGCTTCTACTACAAGGAATGCTCCAATAATTGCGGCTGTGACACTGACACGAGTGACGGTAAGTCTGACTATAAAATAATAGCCCTCAAAATCATATCGAGGAGCATCTCCTTGGGACAATGGGCCTGTTCGCTTGAACTTATCAGCCAGCTTATCAGCTAGAATCTACAATAGAAGAAAGAAGACTCCCAGGGCATGACTACTCCAAGGGCAAATGAGCAAACTATCTTCACTATGACCATGAGAAAGAAGAGTCCTTCCATCCCAAAGATCAGAGCATACCTTGTGTAGAAGAAATCATACAGGAATGCTAACTCCATCTCGATATCCCTGAATGCTTCTGTGTACTCATCACTAGCGTTGTTATCTGATAGCAACCCTTCAAGAACGAACCGACGTGTCTCTGGAAGGCTAGCCTCAGCACAATCCATCCCGAAGAAGCGACGCCTCAGCAGGTGGGACAAGGAATACGATAGGCATGCACCTTTAATTCGCAAGCTGTTGAGACCATGTGAGATGAGCTTTTCTTCATTGCCCTCGTCCCAGATTATGCCAACAGTAACAACACCTTCCTTTGGTACTGCCTCGCATCTGTACAAGGAGCTTTTACCATTCCATGTACCGGTGACCTTGTAGGCAGGCCAGTGGACGATGTACCTGCAGCCCTTCATGGTGACAGGGTCAAAGGAGTGATCACCTCCTGCTAATGTTGAGTTGGCAGCCACGGCGGCGGCGGCATAATCCTTCATGTAATCCGCTACCACTTTGCTAGGATAGGAGTAGTTGACCATCCAGCTAGCTATGGTTCTAAATGTATGAGCAAAGCAGACAGCAGTAAACAGGATGAAGACAGGAAGAGTGGTAGGATACCACAAAAACTGACGTCGTATCCTATACAGGATCGACATTGCTGTAGTTCTTTCTTCGCTGCGGTCTTCTGTGTTGGGGACTTGGGGTAGAGCAATTGAAATATTACTATGCCGAAGTAGATGTCGTACTGAAGAATATCGAAGAAACCTCGCTTCCACTTCCTGTTGTCATCGAGGTCATAGGCTGTGATGGAGCCCCCTGCGATCAGGAAAAGAGAGAGTGCCCACACTGGATACATTATTACAGCCGCCACCTGAGATGACTGCATCAGGCCAAGGGTATATATGACAAGAGGGGGGAGGAGAGTGTAGGACACCCACAGCCCCCCTTGGATAAAGGCGTTGTTGCTACACCGGCGAAGGGAACCGCATAAGAGCTGGAAGAAAAGCAGCACAGCCGCTGCTGTCATGAAAACCTCCACTTGCATTACTGCCCGCAGCGTCTCGTGATATATCTGGGCCGGGGTATCATCGCAATTCACGCTTTGTTTGCCTACTGTCACCATGGAGGTCACCGCTTCTATATATCTGCAACAAGCTTCCTTTCTAGCGAGGCTTAATTATAGGGAACTGAGTGCTGGTTGTTCAGGAGGTAGGCTGTACAGTCTCTTCAACACAAGTGTGTCTACAATGCCCTGGCGTCGCTTCTTGAACACAAATGCAGGGTAAAAGCATCCTCGGCCAAAATAACACACAGGTTCTTCTTCCTTTGGTGTATTAACTTTAATTACCACCATTCGTCTTGCTTCCTCAAAATGTCTGACTGAGTTAACTTTCACACAACGTCATCATCCGTGTATCACATGGGTCCAAGCGCCTTTTTTTTCCACGTGAAACTGAAGTCGCTGTAAAAGGATATAACAAATGTATTTTAGAATGTGTTCCAACTCGTGCTCCTGTAGTTATTATTGTCTATGCTGATTTGGGACCGCATAATTGGTGACCGGATTTTTCTGATTTTCTATGGATCACTAGAGTTTATCCTTTTTTAGCATGTCCTATGAGGATTAACGTGGGCTCTTCAAAAATGAGGCTTCAATCTTACTTACTAATTGTAGCCCCAAAGGTGCCTCTATGTTAATTCTCCCAAGACGCGTTAGGAAAAAAATGATAAACCATATAAATTCTCAGGAAAAAAGAGACATCTGACCATAAATTCGGTAGACTATAATCATAATTACCAATAATAGACATCAGATCTATTTAGTTTTTTTCTAAAAAATTATCCAGGTTTTTTTTATTATGAATAACATAAAGGAAGCCCTAATTTTACCTCAAATTACCCACTGATACTGTTATGAAAGATAATATAAACCCCTAAATTCGCATTAAATTATCCATTGCCTAAAGGAACCCTCTAAATTTGCATATAAATTACCCAAATCTAACATTATGAAATACGATATAAAGTAACCCACTACATTTGCATCTAAATTAGGTACCCCTGCCACAGTAATAGATAATCTAAATACCCCCTTAAATTTACATCTAAATTACCTATCTCTTTCTAAATTTATTTTAAATTACCAACATATACTATTATGAAAAAAATTAATATCATAAAGAGTTTTGTCCAACTTCACTGCTTCTTAGCGAACAAATTTGTCAAAACTTCTGGTTCCTAACTTAATGAGGCAAGAAGAAGAAATATATTTGTGAGGGATATATGCGGAAACTGTACTGGTTTTTTGCCTTTAAATCAGTGATACCACAAGAGTTCATTAATCAGAATGGTAACAAAACGTTGAAGTAGACGCACTGTATAATGATGAAAAGATTATAGCATACCACAGCAGCAGCGTCTTTGTAGCTGTTACGATGTGTGTGACTAATAAGGAGTATTCACTGTATGTTCAGCTTCAGTTCAGTACCTGAGAAGTGAAAGGCCAGGTTATTGTCCAAGAGAGTGGCGTTCAAAGCGTGCAGAAAGCATAGAAGACAGAGTACAAATGGATGAAAATAGCAGGAGCAACTAAAGGCAACAATTTATGGTACCCTATTCTTGACTAAAAATAACGTGAGATGGCCTGGAGCTCAAGATGCTGGCCTTGCTTGTGCCCTCTTTTCCTCCAATGCAACCTATGCCCCCTGAATCAGAGATTTCTGGAGCTCAGATTTTACTCATGCCATCTGCAATTGCAACCTTCCTATATATTTCTCCTCCGCAATGTATGGACACCAGAGCTTCCGGGATCTGGGTTGCACAGTGCAGACTTGAGCATGACAGGGGAGGACCGAGAGAGCACTTAAGTGTAGGTACCATGGACGAAAGATGGATGAACCTGACTGGAGCTAAGTGGGTGTTTGGATTCGGTGAGTAAAATTTAGGAGGTGTCATGTGAGGGTGTCGCATGGGATGTTCGAATACTAATAAAAAAACAAATTACAGAATCCGTCGATACTTTACGAGACGAATTTATTAAGCCTAATTAACCCGTCATCAGCATATGTTTACTGTAGCACTACATTGTCAAATCATGGACTAATTAGGCTTAGAAGATTCGTCTCGCAAATTAGTCGCAAGATGTGCAATTAGTTTCGTAATTAGTCTATATTTAATACTACATGCATGTGTCCAAACATTTGATGGACAGCGATTAAAGTTTAGAGGAGAAACCAAACACCGCCCAGGAAACAAAATAAAATAGGATGCTACCTGGAGCTCAGGGATCTGCGGCCTTTGCTCGTGTGTATCTCCAAAAGCGGCCTTTCGTTTTCCTCCTACCTCTACGCACAAGAGCTTCCGGGATCGCCTCTGCCAGCTTTGTGAATTGTGGCACTTCCTTGTGCAGCTATGAACTGCCGACCATGGCCATGGCCATGGCCAGTTACAAGGACATGATTGCCAAGACGTAGAAAGAAAAGGAGGACTCAGCTGGAAAAGCGTACCGGTACGAGCATCGTTGTCCCTGTGGTTGTCGAGCACGGTTGGGTTGGTGGCAGACCGCGGAGAAAAAGGGGATTCCTCCTAGATTCATACTACAAATTAAAGCTAGCTTAGATGCAGCAGGGTCCCCTGCGCGGGAAGGAAGTTGTCGCGTAGTTGTGTTGTGGTGCACGTACCATGGGGACACATTTCGTCGAACGGGCGACGCACACTGCTGACCGTCGAGTGCTCGTGTTGCCTCCCACTTCAGAGCGCTCGACAACCACAGGGACAACGATGCATTTTTTCCTGTCATACTGCAAGTTCCCCAAGATCAAATTGCACTGTTTACTCCAGTCCAGAAATAAACAGAGCAACTTTAATGCCAACAGTGAGAAGGGCGACGTCGCGAGTCAACCCTCCCAGTCCCAGCCCCACCCACACAAGCTTTAATTTTGTCCAGCGACAGAAGGAGCAACGACGAAGACGCAATTTAACAACGATGCATTTGGATAAAAAGAATTGTAGAGGTATCCTGTCGCTGCTGGAGGCCCGATAAGACACATGTCGGCTTCTGGAGGCCCGATAGGGACTCATATCGCCGATAGGATACTCTCGGCCAGCGGAAGGCCGACAGGAGCTAAAACATCAGGCCCCCACATGCGCTCTCTCTTGCCCTCGCAGGCGTCGGCGCGCCGCCCCCTACCCGGCCCGCGGGCTGCTCGCCGTCGTCTGCTTGGCGGCGGTTGTGAAGGTAAGGTTTTTTTTTTAATTTAGATTTTCTTTTTTTAGTTACTTTATTAGTTAGTTTAGTTAATTAGATTAGTTAGTTAGTTAGTTTAGTTTTAGGGTTAGTTTAGTTGTAGATTAGGGTTTGTTTTAGGGTTAGGGTTAGTTTAGTTTGATTTAGTTTTTTTAGCTAGTTTAATTTAGTTTAGTTAGATTACTTAGTATATTTAGTTAGTTTAGTTAATTAGATTAGTTAGTATAGTTTTAGGGTTAGTTTTAGTTGTAGATTAGGGTTTGTAACATTCTCTGAGTTTGTAAGATTCTCTAAGTTATGGTGTATGTTATATGTCCGGAAAAGGAGATCAAATATTTTTAGTGTTGCTCGAAAAGTGGTAAAGTTTTTTGCGTGGTAATGGTTGTGTTCGGGAAAGGTATTGAGTGCTAAGACATCATAAAATAGTGTAGTCGGGTGCTGTGTTGCCGAGGGGCCTGTCCGCTGACCAAAAGCCGATAGGACATGTCGGCCCTCCAGCGGCCGGTAGGGCTGCTGTCGGCGCTGACAGGTCGGCGTCAGCTGCCACGTGAGCCTTATCGACTGCTGACATGCCGACATGGGACCTATAGGCCTTCCAGCGGCTGACAGGGGTCCTGTCGTCCGTCCAGTGGCCGACAGGATGCTATACCTGTAATAAATGAATAACAGCTTCTAGATTTGCAATTATCATTTAAAAATATTATTTTAAAAAAATCTGCAAATGAACACGTGCTGCGCTATTCTTCGGGGCAAGAGAGAAGCAACCAACACTGATTGACGAAATCTGTCTTTAGTCAACTGGCAAGACAATGTTTCCTTTTTTTCTAAACAAAAGAGGACTCTGAGCTAGAAACATGTGCCAAGAGCATAGCAGCGGATTGCCAGACTGCTTAGAAAAAAACATTGTTCCACGGTTCATCATGGCATGGCACAAGACGGAGGGAGGGGCCCAAACAAGGAAGCCGGAACTATCTGGGAAAAAGACGGAGCCGAGTTGTGTGGCCACACGTACCATGCTACCACGGCGACTGGCGAACGCGCTTTGTTGTTTGACGTTGAGACAACAAAGGTTATGTTATTTGCGCAAGAAATAACCAGGAAGGATAAAGGAACCTAACGAATAGGTGCTACAGGCCCTGTGTCTGCTGGTGGTATTTTGGCTGATTCAATAGTGTTTCTGTAAGGAAGAATAAGCCAAAATAAGCACAAGCCGGCTGAAAAGTAGATGAACAGAACATGGTGATATTCTTTTTTGTTTAAAGTGATGTAAAATACCTGAAGGTCATCAGATATGCTGCTCCCGTCTGTGCCATTTCCGATCGTTGCCACCGTTTCCTCAGTTCCACCTATTCCTAATCAGCGTATGCAGATGAGAGGTTTCTGGATGTGAGATCTACTGTTGTGCCATCT